ATTAAAAATTTGGGTCAAACTTTGTAATTTTCTTCCTCATCTTCCATAGCAGCTGGGGATACAACTCATCTGGACCTGGGTATTTGTCCACTTTTAAGCCCACTATAACATTCAATACCTCCTCACATCCTATGTCAAACTACTCAAGAACCTCACAGTCCCTATTCCTGAATTCTATACCTATATCTTCCTTCTCCAAAGTGAAGACAGATGTGAAGTACTCATTTAATATGGTGCCAATGTCCACCATTTCAAGCACAGCTTGCCCTCTTTTTCCCTAATGGGCCCTACTCTTTCCTTAGTCATCCTCTTCCCCTTGATATTCTTGCAGAATAGCTTGGGATTCTCCCCAGTCTTACCCACCCGTGGCTCTTCATGCCCTTTCTTTGTTCTCCTAATTGCTTTCTTAAGATTTATCCTGTAGTTTTGACACTTCACTAGGGCTCCCATTGATTTGCTACCAATAAACCTTTTAAAAGCCTCTCTTTTCCTTCGTATTCAGTACTAAATATTCCTGGACATCCAGGCTTGCTTGTTGCTCCTACATTTTACCCTTAACAGAACATGTTGGGTCTGTACTTTCGTTAATTCCATTTTAATGCCCCCCCCGCTCCGTCCCAAAAATTGTTCTGCTGTAGGATTACGCAAAAGTACCATTCCAGTCTAATTTGGCCAGATCCTCCCTTATTTTAATAAAACCTGCCTTCCGGTAATCCAAACCCTTTCTTGCAGACCATCTTTTTCCTTTTCTTTTCGTCACACCTCCCACAAAAGCCTCAATCATAAACTTCAGGTAATCAAAACCTTTGCTGCCCATCCATCCAAAATATTTATCCATCATTCTACTTTCACTAACTTATATAAGCTCCAAATACCTCAGATTCATAAATTTAAAAGTTCATACAGGCGTTCAAATCTTTTCATGGCCATAACTCTCTCCATATCTCAGTATCTTGATCCAACACTCTATTATTTGGATTCTGGCATTTTTCCTTTAAGACATTACATATAACACACTTCTTTGACTAACATTTTGATCATTCCTCCCAAGTGTACTTTAGCTCAGTGTCTGTTTTCCTTAGTGAACTGGAAAGTCTAATATAGTTAATTAGAATATTGAATAGCAAAATATAGATTAACATTTCATTTAAGTCACTTAAGTTATTAAGCCACACCGATGCTGTAAGAGCATAAGACCATTAGGCATAGAAGGAGAAATAGACCATTCAGTTCACTAAATCTGCTCTGCCATTCAATGAGATCATGACTGATTTCATAATCCTCAATTCCACTTTCTTGCCTTCTGTCCTCAAACCTTGATTCTCTTACTGATTAAAAATCTATCTCGGCCTTAAATATACATACTGACTCAGCCTCAACAGCCCTCTAAATAATTCTACATATTCCCTACCCTCTGAGAATAGAAATCCATCCTAAATTCTGATTTAAACATTCAACCCTTTATTCTGAGATTATGATCTCTGGTCCTTGAGGGAAATAACCTTTCAACATCTACCCTATCAAGTTCTCTAATAATCTTGTATGTTTCAATAAATCTCCTCTCATTCATCTATATTCCAACAGGTACAGGCCCAATCTACTCAACCACTCCTCATAAGATAGTCCCTCCATACCTGGTATCAGCCTAGTGAACCTTCTCTGGACTGCCTCCAATGCCAGTAGATCTTTCCTTAGGTAAGGGACAAAAAACTGTTCAGTGTTCCAGCTGTGGTCTGACTCGTGCCTAGTATACTTTTAACAAACCCCATCACCCACCCCCCCGCCGACCTTTATACTCCGTTTCCTTCGAAATAAAAGCCAACATTCCTTTGGCCTTCCCTATCACCTTCTGAATTTGGATGCTAGCATTTTGTGATTTGTGGATGAAGACTTCCAAATCCCTCTGTTCTGCAGCCTGTTCCTGCTGTATTTTATTTCAGCATTTGTTAGGTCCCTTGACGTTGTTTTTCCAAGTTTTAGATAAGAACTAAATGCAATAGTTCATCTTGTAAAGTTACTCCCATGCTGCAAATCTTTAATTCAACATTTAATATTTTCAGTTTCTGTAATGGAGCCTTGGATTTTGTCTGTTAGAAAGAAACATCACCTCACCATTACAGAAATACTGGGACATCAATGAAAGATTGTTTCAATGAAAACTTTTCAAGCTAATGATTTATGCAAGAAATACATTCCAAAGATAGTTCAATTGCTTTTGGAATGATTTAAGTGGAATTGTATTGCAAGGGAACATCATTGGTAACTTGCTGTGTTCCTGTGTAATTATCTCATAAAATAATTGTATTTTTATCCAGAGCTTATCAATATTATGGTGTGACTCTCTTAATAATTTGCTGCTGACAGCACAGCAGTGGCAGGTCAGCACATACCATAATACCATAAAGTGTAATACCATAATTAAAGAATATTTCACAATATACTTCATAGGTAATTGTACGTGATTTTCCATCCATTAAAATTAATGGTCAGTAAACTTTTCTCCCTGTGTACCCAAATTTCTAATGTCTTTTATCGAACTGTGTTGGAAATCTGCATCACAACTGTATCTGGTGTAAAGAAACAAGGGTTAATTTTTACATGTTATGTGGCATTTTGAATTCATTATTTATAAAATTAAGATGAGAAATTAGTTATAAATCAGCTTTTGTTCACCTTCATTTCTTTTGATTTGCCTTTTCCCTTATATTTGTTTCCTCTGCTTTCTGTAAAATGGGATTGGTTTTTGGCTGCATTTATTATTAAGAACCTTATTCAGGGGTAATTGAATTTTACCAGCCCTCAAGGATACTTGATAGGCAGGGCTGTGGGAACCTGTAAAATGGCAAGGGAAGACATGGGGTGAAGTGCCTGTTATCGTCCTGTCACCTTGGCCTTCTGCTACCATTGAGCAGGGGCAGTCCTCAATTCAGAGATCAGTTGCGTTCTTAAGTGGCCAGTTAAGAGCCTGTTCTGTAAGCCTATGGCATTTTACCAGCAGTGGATGGCCCCTGTCATATGGGAGGGCTACCTGGTAAAGCCTAGACATGAGCTGATGGTGGATATCTTAATTAGACACTCTGTCGTTCATGGAAGAGTCCCCAGGTAGCAGTGGCTGCCCCACAACAACAAATTCCACCTTCACCAATGCACACTTTCTAATCCATCCTGGCTGCCTGTCTAGCCCTGGGATTACCACAACTCACACATTGTCCAAGCGCAGGCTTCATTACTATGTTCTTTTAGCTGGGAGCATTTTCAGCAGTGGCCACTGTTCCCAGACACGCTGCTGAGACTGAACGAGCTTTTGGCTCTTTGGGGTTAGACTTCTTCACCTAGCATTTAAAGGGCCAGGTGAACAGAAGAACCAGGAGCAGGAGTAGGTCATTTGGCCCTTCAAGCCCACTCTGCCATTCAATACGATCATGGCTGATCTTTTCATGGACTCAGCTCCACTTACCCACCTTCTCACCATAACCCTTAATTCCTATACCATTCAAAAAATTATCTATCTTAGCTTTAAAAACATTCAGCAAAGAAGCTTCAACTGTTTCACTGGGCAGGGAATTCCACAGATTCACAACCCTTTAGGTGAAGAATTTCCTCCTGAATTCAGTCCTAAATCTGCTCCCCCTAGTTTTGAGGCTGTGCCTTCTTGTCCTAGATTCACTCGCCATTGGAAACATCCTCCCTGCTTTTACCTTATCTATTGCCTTCATAATTTTATGTTGCTATAAGAACCACCCGCATTCTTCTAAATTCCAGTAAATATAATCCCAGTCTACTCAGTCTCTCCTCATAAGCCAATCCACTCAACTCCAGAATCAACCTAGTGAATCTCGTCTGCACTCCCTCCAGTGTATCCTTTCTCAAGTAAGGAGACCAAAACTGCACGCAGTACTCTAGCTGTGGCCTCACCTGCACCCTATACAGCTGTAACATAACCTCAGAGATAGTAGGAACTGCAGATGCTGGAGAATCCGAGACAACAAGGTGCAGGGCTGGATGAACAAAAGCCTCTCTGCTCCTATGATGCTGCTTGGCCTGCTGTGTTCATTCAGCCCTGCACCTTGTTGTAACATAACCTCACTGCTTTTAAACTCAATCCCTCCAGCAATGAAGGACAAAATTCCATTTGCCCTCTTAAATACTTGTTGCACCTGCAAACCAACCTTCTGCAGTTCATGCACAAGGAGATCCAGCTCCCTCTGCACAGCAGCATGCTGCAATTTTTTGCCATTTAAATAATAGTCCTTCTTACTGTTATTCCTACCAAAATGGATGACTTCACATTTATCCATCTGCCCACTCACTTAAACTATCTACATCCCCTCTGCAAACTTTCAGTCTTCTGCACACTTTGCTCTACCACTCATCTTAGCATCATCTGCAAACTTTGATACACCACAGGTAGTCCCTACCTTCAAATCATCTATGTACCTCAAACAGCAAATTAGCTAGCAGATGGAACTAAAATGTGGCCAGGGTTCCCAGACAAAATTCAGCCATTTGGAGTGCATTTTGATACTTCAGGTCCACAAAATGTGTATACCTTTATGACCATGAATCTAAGTAACTAGAAAAGCATACAAAATCTAAATCAGGATTCTCAAATGTGCGTGCAATAGGCAATGACTTCCTGCCAGAAGCTCACAGATGGAGAATTTGCCTTTCTACTTTAGCTTTGATTTGTTTCTGAGTCCTTTGATCCTGTTGGATTACCTGCCAAGGGCTTAGACTGAGGCTTTTGAAGTTTAAATCCTTCCTGCTTGAAATACTGCCCTGTTAAATCCAAAAAGACGCGTCCTAATTTTACAGTTGTACATGTACAAGATTTTACTCAGTGTCTTAATTACAGGGGAAAACCTAAATTTAATGAAAAAGTGGACAGAGGATTATGTCACATGTTGACCCTTTAGCATTTATTAGTTAAATAGTGAATAATTGGTAAATGACATCATTCTGAATCTGAGTACATGCTAAAGGGTAATATGCAATAATACCTTTTTGACACGATCTTCAGACTGTTGGTCACACTGTGAATCATTACACTGGTCGGCCCAGCCAAGTGCAAATGGAAATACTGTGAAAGGAGAAACATCTCATCAAGCAATATAGTTTCACAATGTTTTCAGATATATTACAGCATAAACATTACAATGAACTACGTCAGCATTTAAAATCGCTAATCTAGTGGGAAATTACATTATTCCTTACAGAGGAGCCTGAATATTTGGAAACAGAGAAATGCAGTCCATCATTACGGACATGTCATTGGTGGCCTAAACAAAGAAACCACTTCTGAAAATAATAGCTATGATTTTCACAGGATGGGAAACGGATGTGGGTCAGAATTTGTACATTGAAGTTTGGACGAATGAGAGTCATAGAGTTATACAGCATGGAAACAGACCCTTTGGTCCAACTCATCCACACCGACCATGTTCCCAAACTAAAGCAGTCCCACTTGCCTGAGCTTGGCCCATACTTTTCCTATTCATCCTTTCCAAACCTTTCCTATTCATCTACCAGTCAAAATGTCTTTTAAATGTTGTAACTGTACCTGCATCCACCATTTTGTCTGGCAGTTCATTCCACATATGAACCACTCTCTATGTAAAAACGTTGCTCCTCATGTCCTTTTTAAATCTTGCTCCTGCCACCTAAAAAATATGCCGCCTAGTTTTGAACTTCCCCACCCTAGGGAAAAGAAACTTACTATTCACCTTATCTGTGCCTCTCATGAATTTGTAAATCTCTAAGATCCTAAAGGAACATAACAGGGTGGATTATGAAAGGATGTTTCCCTTGTGAGAGACCCTAGAACTAGGGTTCACAGTTTAAAAAAAGTGGTCACCCATTTAAGATTAAGATGAGAAAAATTTGTTTCTCTCGGAGGGTAGTGACCCTTCAGAGTCATAGTCACAGAGTTGTACAGCAGATCCTTCGGTCCAACTCGTCCGTGCCAGATATCCTAAATGAATCTAATCCCATTAAGAGTCGTAGAATCATAGAGATGTACAGCACGGAAACAGACCCTTCGATCCAACTTGTCCATGCAGACCAGATATCCTAGATAAATCTAGTCCAATTGCAGCATTTGGCCCATATCCCTCTAAATGCTCCCTATTCATATAACCATCCAGATGCCTTTTAAATATTGTATTTGTACCAGCCTCCACCACTTTCTCTGGCAGCTCATTCCACACATGCAACACCCTCTGTGTGAAAAAGTTGCCCCTTAGGTCCCTTTTTTATCTTTCCCCTCTCACCTTAAACCTATGCCCTCTAGTTCTGGACTCCCCCACCCCAGGGAAAAGACCTAGTCTATTTACCTTATCCATGCCCCTCATGATTTTATAAACTTCTGTAAGGTCACACCCCAGCCTTCGATGCTCCAGGGAATGTAGCCTCAGCCTATTTAGCCTCTCCCTATAGTTCAAACTGTCCAACCCTGGCAACGTCCTTGTAAATCTTTTCTGAACCGTTTCAAGTTTCACAACATCCTTCCTATAGCAGGGTGATCAGAATTGCACACAGTATTCCAAAAACGGCCTAACCAATGCTCTGTACATCCACAACATGACCTCAGAACTCCTATACTCAATGCGGTGTCCACTAAAGGCAAGCATACCAAACGCCTTCTTCACTATCCTTTCTACCTGTGACTCCACTTTCAAGGAACTATGAACATGCACTCCAAGGTTTCTTTGTTCAGCAACAATCCCCAGGACCATACCATTAAGTACATAAGTCCTGCCTTGATTTGCCTCATAATGAATCTTATGTTGCTTTGAGTTGCATTGAGCTTTTTGAAAGGGTTTCTTACCATGAGGCCTGGTGAGTTTTCTCACCTTATTTTATCACCCACCTCATTAATTGCTGACCATGACCCTATGTTGTCTCTCATGTCCCATTTCCACTCCAACTTACCATGCACCATTCCCAGAACAACTCGACATACACTGGTTATCTGTCTGCACCACTTTTAAAAGGCTGCTGTACACCAACGCTTTGGGAGCACTGCTCCTTCGTCGGGTGAAGTCATCACCTAACAAAGGAGCAGCACTCTGAAAGCTTGTGATTTCGAATAAACCTGTTGGACTTTAACCTGGTATTGCGTGACTTCTGACACTGAATTCAAGACTGTGAAACTGGACCGAGAAATGGGCAGAGATTTGATATAATGTTATTTTCATATCAGTGTGGAATCCAATTCAGCCTAAATGTTAGCTAATATTATTGGGAAAACCGCTGTGTGGTATTTAGAGATAGTAGGAACTGCAAAAGCTGGAGAATCTGAGATAAAAACGTATAGAGCTGGATGAACACAGCAGGCCAAGCAGCATCAGAGGAGCAGGAAGGCTGACATTTCAGGCCTAGACCCTTCTTCAGAAATGGGGGAGGGGAAGGGGGTTCTGAAATAAATAGGGAGAGAGGGGGAGGCGGATAGAAGATAGATAGAGGAGAAGATAGGTGGAGAGGAGACAGACCGGTCAAAAAGGCGGGGATGGAGCCAGTAAAGGTGAGTGTAGGTGGGGAGGTAGGGAGGAGATAGGTCAGTCCAGGGAGGACGGACAGGTCAAGGGGGCGGGATGAGGTTAGTAGGTAGGAGATGGGGGTGGGGCTTGAGGTGGGAGGAGGGAAGAGGTGGGAGTAAGAACAGGTTAGGGAGGTGGGGACGAGCTGGGCTGGTTTTCGGATGCGATAGGGGGAGGGGAGATTTTGAAGCTTGTGAAGTCCACATTGATACCATTGGGCTGCAGGGTTCCCAAGCGGAATATGAGTTGCTGTTCCTGCAACCTTCGGGTAGCATCATTGTGGCACTGCAGGAGGCCCAGGATGGACATGTCGTCTGCGGAATGGGAGGGGGAGTTGAAATGGTTCGCGACTGGGAGGTGCAGTTGTTTAGTGCGAACCAAGCGTAGGTGTTCTGCAAAGTGGTCCCCAAGCCTCTGCTTGGTTTCCCCGATGTAGAGGAGGCCACAACGAGAACAGCGGATGCAGTATACCACATTAGCAGATGTGCAGGTGAACATATGCTTGATGTGGAAAGTCTTCTTGGGGCCTGGGATGGGAGTGAGGGGGGAGGTGTAGGGGCAGGTGTAGCACTTCCTGCAGTTGCAGGGAAAAGTGTCGGGTGAGGGGGAGCTGGAGGGGATTGTGGAGCGGACAAGGGAGTCACGGAGAGAGTGGTCCCTCAGGAAACCAGGTAAGGGTGGGGAGGGAAAAATGTCTTTGGTGGTGGGGTCGGATTGCAGATGGCGGAAGTGTCGGAGGATGATGCGTTGGATCCGGAGGTTGGTGGGGTGGTACGTGAGGATGCGGGGGATTCTGTTTTGGTTGTTATTGTGGGGATGGGGTGTGAGGGATGAGTTACGGGAAATGCGGGAGACACGGTCGAGGGCGTTCTTGACCAGTGAGGGGGGGATGTTGCGGTCCTTGAAAAACGAGGACATCTGAGATGTACGGGAGTGGAATGCCTCATCCTGGGAGTAGATGCGGCGGAGGCGAAGGATTTGGGAATAGGGGATGGTATTTTTGCAGGAAGGTGGGTGGGAGGAGGTGTATTCTAGGTAGCTGTGGGAGTCGGTGGGCTTGAAATGGATATCGGTTTCTAGGTGGTTGCCGGAGATGGAGACAGAGAGGTCCAGGAAGGAGAGAGAGGTATTAGAGATGGTCCAGGTGAACTTAAGGTTGGAGTGGAAGGTGTTGGTGAAGTGGTTGAACTGTTCGAGCTCCTCGTGGGTGCACGAGGCGGTGCTGATACAGTCATCAATGTAACGGAGGAAGAGGTGGGGTTTAGGGCCATTGTAGGTATGGAAGAGGGATTGTTCCACGTAACCTACAAAGAGGCAGGCATAGCTTGGGCCCATGCGGGTACCCATGGCCACCCCCTTTCTCTGTAGGAAGTGGGAGGAATTGAAAGAGAAGTTGTTGAGGGTGAGGACGAGTTCGGCTAAGCGGATGAGGTATTTATCTATAATTTTACATTTTTATTCATATCATCATCTCTTTGCCAAATAGCTATGGCACAAGACTACATGGAATTTTCCCTTTTCCAGATTTTCAAATATGCAGCAATATTCAACATAATGTGAAATTACAAATCTTGAATATAATAACTTTTAAAAGGCCATTTATTAACATAATCAAGCATGTCTTAGAGACAAAGTGCAGACCATTTCAAAATTTAATTATTTCCCAATCACACTTCAACTCAGTGATGATGGAACTGTGAGAGGTGCTGTGACTCTGCAAGCTGAGGCTGCTCACAACAGTTCAGACCTCATGCTATCTATATGTCTAACTGAGAAGCTGAGCAATACTCCATGCTTCCTTTACATAAAGTTCTCTTATTACTGGAATTCAATCTATCTGAAGCTGCCTAATTATTTGCTTAATGCAAATTGCCCTCCTCCTAACTGAATAACTGCCAAATACATTCTACAGAAATTTCAAGCTCATAACTAAAATCAGATTTGGAATTTTTTTTCAACAACTCCACTATAAATGAAGAAAGGTGATATAAATAGGGCAGCATTGCAAGGTATAAACCTGCAGATCAGACTTGAAACTTTGCTGCTTCCTTCCATATATGTTTCAAATCAAGCCAGTATGAACCAGTATGTTCACAATTCAAATTTGGTCATTAATCCCTGATGGATGGGTGTGGATGCTGGACACGAACAAACTCAGCTGCCTTGTTCTGTAGTTGAAATGCCAGTGTTCAACCTCTATCATTTTAATTGAACAAATTAAACAAAATCAATGCAAACACTCCCAAGGGAACATGGTAACAAAAACCAAAATTCCAAAGAATATTTATTAGATTTAAATTAAAATGTCATTCCATGGGTAGACAATGTATCCCAGACATTCAGACTGTAAGATCAAAACAATCATCGATAATCGATTGAGGGAGCAGTGATGCCAATGTGTGTGGAACCATACGAGTGTATGAATTACACATTAGGAATAGAGAGAAATAAAAACTATAAACTTGGAGGAGAAACACTGAATCTATTACAATAAAAAGTTGCATTTATTTATTTCTTTGAGGCTACTTTCAATCTTATTGAACATATAGATGAGACTCATATTGATTACAAATAAACATTACTTACCAATGAATTGGAAATTAAATATATGGCTCATTGGTGTCTTTGAGGGTTTGATGCTGTGGCAGGCTGAATTCCAGTGGTGCACTTCACACTGCAGGTCATGGATAGCATCTTCCAGCTGCTTCTGCAAATGTTTCTCAAACTTAGTTATCTCATTATTGTTGCATTTAGTTGTGTAGAAATCAGCTTCTAGGCGAACACTTTTCTTTGGATTGTGATACACTTAAAGACAAATGAGGAATACCAAATGTCTATCAGTGCTACAATGTGACTGATCAAGGTGCAAACACTAAATGATTTATAATAACCAAAATAGAAAGAAGACACTTAAACAAAGATCAACACCCCTCTAAGCAACATCAAAATGCCATGTACTGTTTGCACTTTTCCTTCTATTGAAAATCTTCTGTGTTGTTGCAGGTGAGGAGTTCAGGCTCCATGGAGAAGACAGGGGAACACAATGACATCTATGGTTAGGATGGGTGCTCACTATGAGACTTGGATTAAATGGGTGGCGGGTAGGTTGTCTACGATTGGGGGTTGCACTGTTTGATTTATGAATCAATGTACTTGTTCAAACAAACCTACCTAACCAGAAAGTTAAATTCGATGGCAGGACATAAGCAGAAAGAATGCTACCAGAATGGGAAAGGACAATGGTCCCTTAAATCAAGCTAAGATGAGGAAATTGTGTCACACCATCTGTTTCTTCAACAATCTCTTTTGTTGCAGCATGTTTTTGGTGGAATACAAATTAGGAGAAATCAAAATTGGAGAAAAACTTTGATGACTAACAAAAATAGAATACTTTTGATTAGAAAGGATAAAAACTGATTTAACAAGCAGAGTAAAAGAAATGCATAGACTGAACAGTTAAGAAATTGTATTATTCCTCCACAATGTGGAGAAAAAGCAAACCTTTTATTTGCTCACCTCCTCTTTAGAAAGGGTTGACTCATGCCAGTGTAAAGTTACTCACCTTGTCCAAATGTCAATCTTCATTTGTGATTCTACAGAAGATCACCAAACTACTTGGCAATGAGCAGCATCACAGTCAAGCCACATGTTCTATGTAACCTGATATTCAGATACACATGCATTCCAGGACGAACCCCCTAGACAGTAATCAGGAATTACATATGGGCAGCATTTACTTTTCAGATGCCCCCTGCGAAAGGTGGGTTTGGATCCTCATGCGGTGTTGGAAATATACATTCACATAGACAGCCTTAGGAATCAACAAAACCAACTACACACTGTTAGTGACAGTAGTTGAGAAATATCGATTAACAATTACACAGTTACCAGAGGCAAGTAGTTCAGGCAGAAAAAAAATCCAGAAAATAAAATAAACAAGCCAGCAAGCAGTTTTTGATCAATGTACGGAAAGCTAGACAATTCTGCCATTTTCACCAATTAATCTATTCGATCCAGTGCCTATGCTTCAAATAGTACAGTATTTTAATGACAGTAAGTTGTTTTAGAAAGTCCTGAGGGACTCAAGACCCCCTATAAAATGGAGGGTTTCTTTTCTTTCTTTCTCTTTCTAGCAATCTGAAATAACAGTATCCAGTATTAGAACATTTTAATATATACGTGTACATGTGACAAGCACACACTCCACTATACAAAACCACTTGGCACCTTTATGGAGAGATCAGACAAATAACAAATATGGAATGCAAAATATTCACTAAACAACAGTTGGAAAGACATTGTAGTTTTCTGATACTGAATTATTCCAACCAATTGTAAATTCCAATTAAAATGTGTCCAGACAGTGATTAATATATTGTGTTGAATTTTCAGAAGTATAAGATAACCCCAGATCCCGAAACTCTGGGTTGAGACTCTTGATGAGGTCAGAGAAGTCACATCAGTATCCCATGCATCTGTTCCTCCAATGAGCAGCAACGATGATTTTGGATATGGAAGGCACTGGCAGGCCAGCCCTGGACCCACTGGATTATTTCTGTCAAACGTTACAGGATGAATGTGTAGCCCTACATGCTCTTTAACTTCAGAAGGTACTTCTAGTGGAGAGCTTGAATAGGCTGTTTGTGTGTGGACTTGGCACAGCTGGAGGCCTGGGGAAACTGTCCTGTGTCAAAACTGTGGGAAAAACCTGAAGGTCACAAAGCTGAGCTGGGAAGGTGTGAATCTATTGATCACAGTCTTGAATATACTCAGCAACTGAACATTCAAAGGTAGAGAATTTCAAAGATTATAGCAATGGAGAAAGAGTTGACTGTGATTCTCTTCATGGTTCTTAATTACAACTAAGAATATTGTGGTACTTTTAATATGACCACATAAGAGACTGGTTTCTAGTCTTACGAGTATTTCAACTATACTGAAAGCCTGTCAAAACTCTCTGCAGAGTGGCCGGGATGTTAATTCATATTCATAACATGCTAATGAATGCAAAACACGTTCCCACCAGTTTTCACCTGGATTGGGAAATCCCTTTATTAATTTCAAAAATATCCTTTATTCATAAAAATATCTTTATATACATACATAATCACTAGAGTAATTCAGTTCTATGCAGTCTTTGCATATTGAGAACAAAAACAAAAACCCAAAGCCTTCCTTGCTTATACAAGACAATATTACATACATTTGAGGCATTGAAAGGGCTGATAACTGAATGGCCTCCTGTTTAACTTGGTCTTGGCAGCAGCTGCCTTAAGCTTTAGTGCGTCCCTCAGCATGCAGTCCTGGAGCTTGGAATGTGCCAGTCTGCAACACTCATTCAGAGTCAACACCTTGCTCTAGAAGATCAACAAGTTTCGGGCAGACAAAAGAGCGTCTTTCACTGAATTAATGGTCCTCCAGGCACAATCAATGTTTGTCTCGGTGTGCATTTTGGGAAATAGCCTGTAGAGCACAGAGTCCTGCATTACAGAGCTGCTTGAGACGAACCTTGACAAAAACCATTGCATCTTTCTCCAGACTACTGTTGCAAACAGAAGGAGATTTGTAACAGTCTCCATCAGCCCCCCACCAAGCCACTTTGAGAGCAGCATCCGGTATTGCAGAGAGTCTGGGCGTATATGAAGGATCTCACAGGTAGTGTCCTTCTCACCACAAGCCATGCGATGTCTTGGTGCTTGTTGGAAAATTCTGGTGATGAGGCATTCTGCCAAATGAACCTGACAGTCTGCTCAGGGAACAACATGACAGGATCCACCCTCTCCTATTCCTGCAGGGACTCAAGGATACTACGTGCTGACCCCTTCCTGATGGACTTGTGGTCAAAGGTGCTTTTCTTTGCAAATTTCTCCATGAAGGACAGGTGAGACGGAACTGTCTAACTACTTGGAGTGTTCCATGGCACCAAGGCCAGTCCTATCCTTCGCAACAGTGGGGACAGGTAGAACCTCAGTACGTAGTGACACCAAGGGTCTATGCACACTTAATGCAGCTGCACACAAAAGTGGCCATCAGGATGAGGGTGGGGTTGGGTACACTCTTTTCCCCCCCCTCACTTTGAGATTTGTAATTGGTGTACCTGCGGACACGGGCCATCTTAGACCTCCAGATGAAGTGGAAGATGGCTCTGATAACTGCAATGGTGCAGGTTCCGGGAATGTGCCAGACATGAGCAACAGAGAGTGCCTCAGGCCTGATGACCAGGTTTTTAACCTGCAAATGGAAAGGGAGAGGAGCTCCCAAAAGCCCAGTTTCTGCCTCACCTTGGTTTTTGCACATGCCCCACCCCTCTGACCCACATTCCCAGCATCTTCAGCTAATCTGTACTTAGAGTGAAGGGGATAAAGGTTCAGTCAGCCTAGTTTCCAAAGAACATGGCCTGGCTCTAGCCTCAATTTACCTTGGCTCCCGAGGCCAGTTTGACCAGTTGCAGATGCTCAAGAATCTGCACACTGTCAGTGGATCCGAGCACAAAACGGCAATGTCATCCATGTACATGGAGGTTATGTCTTGCAGACTTCTGCTGCCTGGAATAGTCAACCCTCTCAGGCTCGCATTCTTCCTGATGGACTCAGAAAAAGGCTCTATATAACGCAAAGGCAAGGCAGGAGAGAGTGGGCAGCCCTGCCAAACTCCAGATCTGATCAGGAAGCTTTCTGATTCCCACCCATTAATTGAGACTGCACTACTGATGTTGGTATAGAGCAGTCGGATCCAATTGCAGATTCCCTCCCAAAGCTCATATGGAGAGCATGCCCCACATGTAGGTGTGTGATATCCTGTCAATGGGGCCCTCTCCTGGTTCAGATTGATGAGGTAGGCATCCACTTTCCTTGTGGTATTCCTTAAGTGTGTGAGGCTGTTTGAGATTATCCTGCCCGGTACAACACAGGTTTGGTCGGGTGAATCACCGATCTTGGATCCCTGGTTGGCGATGACCTTAGACAAGATTTTGTAATTCGCATTTAACAGTGAAATTGTTTGCAAATTGCTTATTTCCTCACTAAGTAAGGGTATGATGCCTTTCCTCATGGATTAGCACATGGTTCCTGCCAGAAGCATACTTTTGTACACCTCCAGGAGGTCCTGGCCAATTAAGTCCCACAGAGCTGATAATTCTTTTCTAATGACTTAAGGTCCTCAGTCAGCTCATCCAGAGATAATGGCTGGTCCAGCACCCCTGCATGCTGTCATCTAAGACCTCTGTGATAGAGGACAGGAACCACTGGGATCATGCTGTCTATGGGCTTCATGTCATATGGACTGGTATAAAAGGATTTGCTGATCCTCAAGATGTCAGGCTGAGATGACGTTACCAAGCTATCTTTTTTATTCAGGCTACTGAACACAGACGTTTCCTTGTGCATCTTCTGGAAGAAGAAATGTGAGCACGTCTCATCCTGCTCCACGGAGCGGTCCCTGGACCAGCAAATTATTTTGGAGGCCTCCAAGACAAAGAGCAAGGCTTGCTGGCTCTTCACCTCCTGGAGATCCTCTGTGACATCGACCCCCATCATCTGCAGCAGGAGTAGGTTCTGCATGCTTTTCTGGAGTTTGGACAGTTTTCTCCATCTCCCTCATGCCTTCTGAAGAGCTTTGAGAATAAAGAACATCTTGATGTTCCCCTTGACTGTTTCCCGTCAGTCCAGCGGAGATTCAAAGAGGAACTTCACGGTTCTCCAATGTGTGTAATCCTGACGATTGGGAAGTCCTACCCATCTGAAAAGTTGGGAGAACTTAATTGCAAATGCTTAATTTGCTATTGAGATCAAGGAATTTTCCTTCCACCCAATTAAGTCCCATTGACCACCTTTCTAAGAACTCCAGATGGGCCTGGAAAATTCTGCCCATTGTTTACGAATGAGTCTTTGTTGAAAGCATGTTTTATGGGAAAGTTGCAGAGTGGTATTTCACCTCAGTTTGTGCCGGTCACTGTGCTGTTGCATGGAGTCAATTCCACCATGGGCATATCTGGTAGGTTTCAAAGGTATATTGGCAACATTGCCACCTACCTTGCAGATCAAATATGCACAATTCAATCAAAGAGAAGCAAAAAATAGAAAAAGAACAGATAATATGACGCACACGTAATTGTGACAGGAAAGATGTGATTGTTACATAAAGTAAATATGATATAACAGGAAATACACGCGAACCTACAATACATAAAGATGACTTGAAAATATTTACACTTATTTCCCATGAAGTCCTTAGAATTGTTGCACTGAATTCCAAAAACAATTCAGCTGTCCATGTTCCCTCCAGACTCCAAATAAATGGTCAGACAACAGCAATTAAATCAACATTCTCCTCAAACAAGCCACAGAAACCTCAATTTTTATTTTGCTGAAAAATTGGTTTATGAGTGTTAGATTAGTGGGCAGGGATGAAAGTTTAATGTATTAGGGATATCAATATTTCTGCAAAAGTATTAAACCTACCATAGACGGTATATCTGACCAGGGTTGATGTTCGTTTTAGATCGAGTGTGTATGTGAGGTTGCAGGTATAGTTTCCAGAATCTACTACATAAATGGTGTCAAACAACAAGTTTCCACTGTCGGTGAAGATGAATCTCTGAGATTCTAAATAAAACCAAACAGAGAAACAAATGTGGTAAAATAGGCAATTGTCAATTATGTAATAACAGGTTCATTTTTAAAATTCATTCATGGGATGTGGGTATCGCTAGCTGGGCCAGCATTTATTGCCCATCCCCTAGTTGCCCTTGGGGTATCACCCATGGTGGTGAACTGCCTTTTTGAACAGCTGCATTCCATTTAGGTAGACCCACAATGCCGTTAGCAACAAATCCAGGATTTTAACCCAGAGACATTAAAAGAATGGCAACATATTTCCAAGTCAGGACGGTCAGTGGTTTGGACAGGAACTTGCAAGTGCTGGTATTTCCATGTATCTGCTGTCCTTGTTGTTCTAGATGCCTGTGTTCATGGGTTTGGAAGGTGCCATCTAAGGACCCTTTTGAATTTCTGCACAGCATTTTGTAAATGGTTCACACTGCTACCACTGTGCATCAATGGTGGAGAGGGTGAATGTTTGTGGTTTTGGTGCCAATGAAGTGGGTTGCTTTGTCCTTGATAGTATCAAGCTCTTGAGTGGTGTTGGAACTGCACCAATCCAAGCAACTGATGAGTATTCTATCACACTCCTGATATGTGCCTTGAAGATGGTAGAGGCTCTGGGGAGCCAGGAGGTGAGTTACTCACTGCAGGATTCCTAGCCTAATCCTGCTCTTGTAGCCACAGTATGTATACAAATAGTCCAATTCAGTTTCTAGTCAACGGTAACCCCCAAGATGCTGATAGTTTTTGTAATAATCCACGTGCACCATCACTCTGTATCTCACCCTTTTTCTGGCATAGAAACCTATGCAACAAACTGTGTTTCTTTTTTTTAGTAATGAGCCACAGCTAAACAACTTTAGCATTACTTTATTTTTCTCATCAATGAATCTAATACTTCTGGACCATATACATGCTATATGTAGGTCTGTGGTCAAACAGGCAAAGTATTTCCAGATATCAGCTACAACTACCTTGAACTAGTTACTAGATAGCATGTTGGACAGCTATAGTTGGACTCCCGCTCATGTGGGCTGGCATTGCTTCCCCACAATAACATAGCTAAGGTTAGGAATTCAGTGGCATGGAGGAATTAACAAATGGAAAATCACCACTTGCTAAACTTTTTTTGTGTCAAAGAACTGTTGAAAAAATATATTTTTAAAGAGACTGACAATAACCTGAACTCAGCAGAATGCTAACACTGGAGCATAAATCCATTTTAAAATCATGTAACCCTTATTGCCTGATATGCTGATACAGCGCATTTGTGCCACAGATTATTTTCAGTCCTCATGGCCTGGGTGCAGATTTTTGTTCTGTTCTAGAATCCTTGAATTTAAATTGAGAAAAATCAGATTGCTCATGCAACATCATGCCATCCATTGATAGACTTATTGGTCAAGATGAATATTTATCCTGAATACCTCCACAAGCATGCCAGAATATAAAACATTAACATAATCTGTCCTTGCAAACTAAAATAGTAACTACCCTATTCCCTAATATAGATTTGATTTTTTTTGCATCAACGCCCATTGTTCAAATGATGTACACACCTTTTTTAACTCCATCTAATTTGCAGTGTAATGCACCACCTCTCATCACAATCTGTACATACAATACAGCTTCTCGGCTGGACGAAAGGGATCATGGAAATCGCCAATCTCTGCTGAATTCCTATGGTAGCATCCTGACAATGAGAGTCTGCCTGCTTAGTCTGAGCATGAAGATTGACAGCTAACTATGTCTGCGTCATCTCCATGCCAAACATGGCCCAATCAATCAGCACCCTCTTCTTGATCTGTATAAAATTGGTATCTATACTTTGAGACTGGTTTGTTGAGTCCTAGTCCCAATGAGTGTATGACGAAAAGCTTTGATTCATATCACTGGTTGTAAAGTCAGTCCTGTGTGGCATTGCCCACGGGGATTCAAGACCAAGTGTAAGCCCAACGCAGTTTTGTGGCCTCAAGGTGAAGCCCAGTGTGGATTTTCTGCGTTAGAACATCAGGACCATAATGCTGAACTTTTACCTTTATTTCTTTATTGTTCTAATTTATACCTAAGATTTTGTACTTAGGGATCCTTATACCTAAGATGGTGCCAGAAAAGGTGACTTTGTACACTTTTCACTGTACTCATGTATCCCTATATGTGAGTACATGTGGCAATAAAAGTAATTTTAATTCTATCTAATTATAATTCTAATCTTCAGGTCAATCATGGCTCAAGGTTGTGGTTAATTGAACCATTAATTTTACATAACACTTTGATATATTTTTTCAGATATAATTAAATATGTAAGCACATGGCAATTTGGAAAACAACAACTCGTGTTTGTTGGAATATAAAGGTTTATCTTCAATGTAAACTGCAGAGCTAAGAATTACAAAACTGAAGTCCTATGCTATAAAGCATAAGTGTGAATCCAAGAATTTATAAGGGATGAAGTTGGAATTATGTAAGCGTGGTACTGTCAGCTTCATCCGAATGACCTGAACAGTCTGTAATGGTCACTATGAAGGAGATGCAGCCCTGTATGATATGGGCATCATTGACATTGCTCAATTGATGTTTAAGTGTAAAGTATAATTTCCAGAACTGAGTAGGCAAGCATTTAACTAGCTGACTGGCTGGTCAACATTGTCAGTTAAAGACAGCTGACTTTTGTATTTTAAATTGATGCATGTACTTACTTGAAAGCAGTATTAACACAGAAATAAATGTGGATGCTCAGGACATATCTGGATATCAAAAAGACAATTTTTTTAACCCAATACAACTTTTCTTTTGTGAGGAGACGTGGGAAAGATGGCTGACTTTATGTTATTCCTCACCTTGGGCACAAAAAGAGAAATACATTTGCAAAGCTGCCAAAGTCTTTTCTTTTCACATTTCAAACTGTTGACAAAACATGACAATACTGAGGAGTGATCGAGAGAAATAAGCAGGGATGCTGATTTTGGCCATTACAAACTGAGAAGCAATCACTGAGAATGATAGTACATGGGCCTTGACGGGAGGTGGATGCAGTCACAGAGAAGGGAGAGAGTGTGTGGTATCAGAGAGAAGATGGTGGCACTCACACTGTCAGACTGGAGGACATCATTGACCTTCTTGTTACAATGCTGGGTATTCCTCCAGGCTGCTGAAGGTGCTTCAATCCAGGTGGCAACTTCGGATCAAGCTGGCATGGTTGGCTGCCATGGCCTCCACTGCCGGTCCTGAAGGGAGGAGGAAATCCTGCCTCTTCACAACCCTGTCCAGCAGGACCTCCTCCTCCCTAACTGCACAGGAGGATGCCAACTTCCTCCTGTGTGCCATATCCAGGGCAAATGTCAGCAACCATGAAGGCCAGCTCCTACCTGACAGTGCTTGTCCAGATGCACAGGGTTTTAAGGATGGCACTAGAACAAGGAATGCTGATGAATTCCAGGATATCCATTGAGAAGCGAGTTATTCTGGGAGCAGCATGTGGTAAGATTGGGGCCAGTACAGGATGTGAAGGATACCATGGGGGTAGGGTAGGGTAGTTAATGAGGTGCATTTGGTAAAATATGGCATGAACACCCACTGGGTCATCGTGGCAGTAACCCCTCCAAAAAAAAACGACACAACCGAGACTTAACCTAAAAAACTTAACTTTCAGCCCATTATTTCTGCTAGTCAAATTGATACCTTTAGTAATCAGTCCATTTGGGCCTGTCCACTGAAACTTTGGATCCACAAGACTTTGTGATAAGAGTTCCTTTGTTAGGCACTGAAGAGACTGGCCTACAGAGTAAACGTGGAAGAAAACTGGAACTAGAAATAAAAGATTTCAATAAGTTAAATTCCTGATATGTTTAAGTTATTCTTGATTTTATCAATGAAGGTTGTCTTTATAGATCTACAAAATATATGACCCCTGGTCATTTATTTACAACCCCTGGTCACCAACCTTTGATGACAATATTAGTATTGTCGAGAAGAATATTTGTGATATAGTTTTTTAATTTTCTGTTGTATACTGCTCTTTGCCAGCATACCAACAACAATTGCACTCTAACTAGTTGAAGCCAGTGCATTAAGTGATAGAAGGACATAATTTTCATTCTGAGGTCATGTGCACAGAGTCAGGAGAATTGCTGCCTTCTCAAACTCAACCTTAGAAATGGTTGCCCACACTCCTCAGTTTCAGCATGGAGGTCAGGCTGGGTCTGGCAACACAGGAAGAACTGATGGTGCCTGCTAGTTACCAAGTGTGGAAACCAGCCAGGGGCTCCAGCATTGTGTCCAAAATTTAAAATTAACGTAAACAAAATTAAACTTTCCTTCTGTCCTCAACCATCACACTCTCTACACTTCACCTTCCCCCATACACTCCCCATATCCTATCCATGCCAACTTATGCCACCTAATGCCTTCCACCATTGGCCCCTGATACACCTAATGCCACCCTATGTCAAACTACCCATTTACTGTGACCCTTCATACCCCTATATCACAGTATGCTTCACTATTCATCCCCAATGAGCCACGTATCCCTATGCCAACTTAGTGCCAGTTCATGCCAACTCATAGTTCCACCCATTCTCCCTTCACCTACAATACCAACACCGGTATCCCCTGGTATCCATGTACACAAGAGGAAAATTAATATTATATTATTTGGAAGTTCAATATTATAGACAACACCGTCTCAAGAAAAGCATTCTCATTCGTACAAACACATTTTATAAGTTTTTGACAGTTCATGCCAGTTTTGCCACTTGATAGTTTTTTTGACATTGGATCCTACTTGGTAAGTCTTGAGATGCTTGGCATCCTTTGACAGTTCCTGCTAGTTCTGGTGATTTTTGGTGGTTCTTCACAAGTTTGACAGCTTTGACAGTTCTTTGACAGCTTTACAGTTCCAAGAACTTTATATACATTTAAGGTACAATCTTCTTCAAATGTTAACAATTCCAAAGGATACCTGACCCCCACTTAAGAGTACACTAGCCTGCCCCAAGGATACCTGACCTCCCTAAGTATACTTGATGCTTGCAAAGGTGTCCCAGGATCATATTGATAAAGTTACATTATCTTTCCAAAGGAGTACCCTTGTTACTCAGATGAATTAACAAAGTCAGACATGCTCTACCCAGTTTAAGGTGCACAGTCTGGATTCCATGCTGCCTAAATCCCATTTCAGTGGAGGCAGCTGGTGGTGATTTAATAGATCTTCTGCCTTCATAAAACATCAACGTGCGAAAAGCAGCCTGACTCTACTCCCACAACTGGGCCACTTTCACGATTTTCATCGTCTTGGACATGGGTTCCATCATGCCAAATATTTGTGCCATAGTTGCACTTGTATCTGCAAGGTCATAGGCCTGAAGTCAACAGTTAGCTCAGTCTCCCTCCAAAGATGCTGCCTGACTGCTAAGGTTTTCCAGCCTTTTTATTTGTTCTTATTCTGCAGTGGTATTTTTTGGTCATAGGGCAGTCCCAATGGCAGAAAATTATAACAAAAAAGTTTACCCCGACATAGGGAAGTCTAGAGTAAAACAAAATCGAGAACTTACCAATTACTTATTAAACATAGACCCTCTTCAAAACAAAACCACCTTTTTGTTGAATAACACTACTGTTCAACAACAACCTTTTTTCAAAAAATTACTTTCAAAAGCAAGAATGAATAGTCAGCCAATCACAGCTAAGAATGTGTGATCCCTAGAAAATGCAGATTTCACACGGACAATTAAAAAATATGTCATGTAGGATTGGCATTAAAATGAGAATGACAATAGGAATGAGAAGGACAGATATCAGGATTAAGTATGTTCAGGAATTGAGAAATAATGGGGGCAGAAGGAAAGTTGTCTACAAATTGGTCATTAAAAAAATTCCAAACATTCTTGTGGAATCATGAAAATATCCTTAGACATTTGGATTAAATGTGAATTTCATGACTAACATTTCAAAAATAATGCCTGATTGTGTGTCATGTTCTTTTAGTCATAGGAAACATTCAAATTATGTTTTTTTTTTCATTTCATTGCCAACATAACAAGTATTCTGACTTGCTCATTCAATCCATTGGTAAAACTGCATGATAAAATTTAACTTTATCTTGATTCTGTAAATTTACCTTACCAATTTCTCCTTCTACACCAAAGGTTTGATCTGCAAAGGGTGTTGAGAAAGCCTGTGATGATGTATCTGGCAAGCTGGCAGACATTCTTCGGAATTTACTGTCATCATCCCTCCTTAATCTTGAATTTCTTTCATGGAAATGCCATTCAGAATTTTTCTTATAGAGATTTCCATCTAAATTTGAATTTATGGATAGTATGAGTGATTCATTTAGCTATGCCTTGATGTTAAAAAAATGAAATATCTACTGAATACAGCAGTAAGGTTGCAATGCAAATTTATAATTCAGAAAAGACTACTCAGCTCACTAAATAATAATCTAGACTTTTGGTGTTTATGGCATGTCATTTCCTGAGAAGTTAGCAAAGTGGACAAGTGACTGTAATTCCAAACATTGTAAAGTTCTCAAATTATCCCGGATATTGATGGATTTGAAGATGGGCTGAAACTTACCAGGAATCAGCTAAATGTCATTTTAGACAAGTTTCGTGAAGGGTTTCTCTCCATTGACACAAGCCTAGCCTGTCTAGCCTTTCCTCATAATTCAACCCATCTATTCCAGCTAGTAGTCCAGTAAACCTGTACTGAACTGCCTCCAATGCTAGTGGAAGACACTAAGGTGAGGAGAAGTAACAAATACAATAACTTTCATTAGAGAAAAAGTGTGAGGAAAACTAACAGGGCTAAAGACAAATGAGTCCCTGGGCCTGATGGGATGCATCCCATAATATTAAAAAAAATAGTTACAGAGATAGTGGATGCACTTGTAGTAATCTTTTAATCCTTAGATTCTGGAAAAGGCCCAGAGAATTGGAAAACTGGCAACGTTATACCTTTATTTGAAAAAGGAAGAAGACAAAATCAGTTAGCTTAATGTCTGTTCTTGGGAAAATATTAGAATCTATTATAAAAGATGTAATAGCAGAGCATATAGAAATACATAATATGATTAAAAAGCATCAGCATAGTACCAAGAAAGGGAAATCATGCTGATTACAAATTTAGGATTGTCAATCAGGCTCCCTGTGTGGTACACACGCATATATTGAAAACTTAATACATAGGATCCTGTTCTTAGCAGACAGAACACTGCACTTATCTCAATGTAATAAAATAACTGGCAACCACTCACTGGTTCATTTCTCAGTGTAATGCTTTGTCCAATCAAAATCACCTTGATAGATTCAGAACTTAAACAAAGCTTGGCAGTTAACTGTCAGTCATCATATAACAGATGCAGTATTCATGCCAATGCCTTAAACAATTAGAGTTCACTAGCTAACCAATCAGCAGTTTCCTCTGATACAAGTCTTGTTTTCTCTTTGCGTTGATATTTCTTGCATATTATCCTCATGAGTGCAAGATGAAAAGCTTCAACAAAATATATCTTCTTTCAGCAATACTCAGGTTTGGTGAGGAATAAGTTAAAGTCACCATAGTCCCACTCTCTCATAGAGATAGAGACAACTGGTCAGTGGGTTGACCTGAGGAACACCATGCCTCAAGTGAGGGGAGATGTCAAGAAGTTGGGACCTTTATGGTAACTTCATCCAGTGTAAGAGTTGAACCCGTGCTGTTGGCATCACAAACCAGCTGCTCAGCCAACTGAGCTAACCTACACTCCAACACTTCCCAACTGAATATAAGTACATGTTAATATTTATTTATATGGAACTTAGTCTTAGAGCAAGAACTGGTAACTGGTTAGCTCTTCCCAGGGACAGTCTTCACTCTACATCCTCTTGGGGAGAATTTATTGCCATATCACTTAACTATTTTAGGTATTAATTATCTTAAACAACATCTCTGATTTATGAATAGCCCATTTCCCTTCAGGTATCAAATTTTATAAACAGCTTTATAAATGGTTGGGTTGGAATATTGCTGCTTGAGGATGAAACATTCAGGTTCACTGCACTGCCATACTGGGACATTTGTGGATCCTCGAACTCCCAAATGCCTTTTGCAAAAAACATTATTATCTTATTAATTATCTTATACAAATTATGACAACAATTCTGTCTTGAAGTAGTTCTGGTTGTATGTCACCGTACTCATAAAATTCTGACAAAGTGTAAAGATCATTAATCAATAGTTTTTTGGAGGCTATATTCTCCTATGAAATCTTGCTCTCCCATTATGCAGTAGGCTTAATGTAAAATAATTGTCAAATATTCTTACAATATCATCGGAAGTCAGTTAGCTCAGTTGGATTGACAACTGGTTTGCAATGCAGCGTAATGACAACAGCATGAAGTTTACCATGAATGACTCTCCTTCTCAAACTCTTCCCTCACCTCAGGTGTGGTGACCCTCATGTTAAATGATCACGTCATCTCTCTCCAATGAGCATGCAGCCTTAAGGTATGTTAAGACTGTGGCAACTTTACCTTTACAACATTATCAAAGGTCTCTTACAACCTGTTGTGTGAAAACATGATCTGCTACTCGACCTACAGTATAAAAAATTGCGGACACCTTTTCTTTTCTCTCTGGGCTTCTTATTAAAGTAATTCTGTATCTTATGCATTACTTCTTCCATACAGGCCTGTTTAAGTATCTGTGTGAAGTAGTTATGATTTTAAATCTAGTTTTAAGTATAATATCTTTCTCCATTGTCACTGCATTTAACTGCATTTACTTCTTGTATTTAATTGATGTACTTGAAAGCAGTTCAAAGATTTTAAGCTTTTTTTACATGTGGTTAGTTTTGCTGTGCAGTATTTTAAATTGTATAAATTATTGCAGTTGCTTTAAACATTGACTGCATCAAGTGTCTGCTACGAACTCTTGGTGGTGTTGTATCATGGATGTTTAATGCTTAGATTTTAAGGATATGTTTGTGTTTAGAATACAATAGGATAATTCCTACAAACCAGTGAAATCAGTAATAAAAACTTCTTGATTGGAGTACTGGAGCAAGTACCGGAGAAACTCAGCAGGTCTGGCAGCGTGTGTGGAGACAGAAACAGAGAAACTTCTTTTTTAAAGTTGTATTATTTTAAAATTCTGGATATTGAAGATAAATTACTCATAAAGATTTGTCATTTAGAAGTTTTATTGTTTAAATGAAGAATTTTAAAATTCTACCTTACTGTTCAGAAATTTTCTTTAATTTCTGTTAACTGTTGAAAAACTTTTGAATGTTTCAACATTTTCCTCCTTTTTCTTCTGAAAAAAAAAAGAAAATATTTTCAAGTGTTTTCGAGATTGTTTTGCTTTAAAATGAAGAAATTCTGTATTTTGTTTTTTCAGGGATGGAGAAAAGGCACAATTTTCAGAATTTGAAGAATTTGCACAATTCTTCCCTTTCTCATAACATGTTCCATAGCCTTTTTTGCACAATGTAGATGATTTGCATCCGTTCTGCTTCTCCTGTGTGAGATTTATGCCTTTTAAAACTGAATAAAATCATGTATTGTTTTCATGCCCTTAAAAATATTTCGACTGCATAACCAAAAGTTTTTACTTCAGAATGGTGTTTTTTTTAATAAATGTTTGTTCTGCCTTTCACTTTTTTCACTCTAAGTAATTGAACTGTACTGCCAATCTAATGATTTTTTTTGGTAAAAATGCTCTTTAAAGTCTTTTTTGCAGCTATTGCTGGCAGTTTTAATTGATTATAGCTCATTTGCTGAATGTATCATTTTAAGCTTTCTTTTAGCTTCTGAATCTAGAAATTTTCCTTTAATGCAATAATTTTCACTCTTCCTCTAAAGGATTTAATTTCCTCTGAGATCAATTATTTTATTTCAAGTTTATCTTTGGTCAAAGTCTTCATAGTGTACATAAGATTTTTCACTATGTCTGGCTGTTTTGAGCTTCTTCAGCCAGGCTTACTGTTGCCCTGGCAGCCTTTTTAACTACTGACTACTGTTTTCATAGAACCTAACTGGCTCTATGTGTTTTTAAACAGTTGATTATTTGAAGAAATGCTTCACAGTTTTCTTCCTGGAACTTTTTCTCTTCTCCTCAGAAGGCCATGGCTTTTTTAGAACTGAAGACTATCACTGCTAGAATATTTCTGAAATATCTCCACAGAGGCAGGTATGCCATCACTAAGTCACCCTTTATTTACACGTGGAGAGTCCTTGACACTGATCCAGCTCCCTCAGAGCCAGCTCACAGAGTGAACAGGCCCTCTGACACTACTGTTTGTATCTATCAGCCAGGGCTCCCTGATTGGACCAGATTAACAGCCCCAGTCAGGGAATTCATATTCTATGAGGTCTACCTGGATGACCTTGTTGCAATCACAATCTCTCTCCCTCTGAGTCCGAGGACAAAGGCTGCTTTTTTTTTTGTAGCTGCTCCTGGGGCATTTTAGTACCGGATCAGGTTCCTCTAACTCTGATACAGGCAGCATGTAATACACAGTAGCTCACCTCTTGCACCCGGAGTGTCTTGGAAGAAATTCATTCTCCTCTTCAGGCAGCAAAGGTGTCAAGGTAGCAACATCCGCTACATCCATCTCAGATTCCAAGCTAGCTTCAATGTTTGATGGAGAAGGAGAACCAATGGGTTCCAGAACAGTCGAAAAGACTGTTGAGGAGTTAGGCACATTTTGCTCCCGCACCGTTTGCAAGTTTGCAGCTTTCATGTGGTCCATGTGCTTATTCAGGACAATCGCACCGACCTGACCTTATGTTGATCATGTCTCTTACCCATGCAGGGCCATTCCTGTGGTTCCTACACCAAACTTCATCCCATGAAGTAAACTGCTTCTCGCTTAGTGGAATCTTTTGTCTGGCATTGGTGTTGTTGATGCTGTTTTACCCTCCCTCCCAGGTCTGGGAAAATCATATTTAACCAGGTGCAGAGTCTTCTCCCTATTAGTAACTGCTGGAGCTATCCCTATAGTTGCATGAGGGGTGGTCCTGTAATCAAAAGGAACTGCGCCAGTTTGGTATCTTGTGAAGCTGTGGGCTGTTTCTTTAAGCCTGCCTTCAAAGTTTGGACTGATCTTTCTGCCAGACAATTGGATGATGGATGGTATGAAGCTGTCCTTATATGACAAATGCTATTCGACTTTAGGAAATACTCCAACTCCCTTCTGGTAAACGATGGCCCGTTTAAATCTTTCCGCTCTCACCTCAAACCTGTGCCTTCTAGTTTATCAATTTGCCTACCCTGGGAAAAAGACCTTGGCTGTTCATTCTATCCATGCCCCTCTT